ATCTAATTGTATCTATCAGTTCAAGTGTGGATGCTCGACTATCTACATCGGCAGAACGGAGAGACAACTGCGTTACCGAGTAACCGAGCGCATCCCAGTCTGGCTTTAGAAAACAAAGAGTGGGAACATCGGAATTATGAGGTCACCAATGACCCGTAGGAAACTCAGTTCGTCGATCACACAGCACTTGATCGAAATGAAACAGTGTCACGCTGAGCGACACGTTCAGAATCCTCTACAACACAAACAACCGCAAGGTTCTGAAATACGCTGAGGTACTAGTCATTCAAAATTACCATCCCAACAGTGTAAACAGTGTGGATGGTTTATCACTCTGGCTCTACCTTGGTAACAAATGTGTTTGGTGAGGAACTTTTAATGCAATCTTTCTCCACTTATGATTATGTTATTTACTGATCATATATTAATGATCAGACTTCAGTTTGCACGTGCACAGATGCAGCGAAATGATCCAGGATAACTTGTGCGAACCTGCGGTTTTGGCTGCTTTATTCAAATAAATATTACATTTCATTTAATGCAACAGAAGATGTTTCAGCGGACAACTAGAAGTTGATGCAAGTGCTAATCATTACCCTGTAGTGCTCCCCCTTCCAGTGAGAGCATGGATTCTCCGTGTTCAATGCCTATTGGTCATCCTAACGGAGTAGAACACTTGCGATTAATTGCAGATTCGCGTCTACGAAATAAAAGTAGAGTAGGCTGAGTTGTGACCTTTATGTTGGGCACATTAGGTTGCATTCTGCATGGTAGTGTGACGGAGATGTAAATGCCTACTGAGAAAGGATTGTATAGCTCGGTGGAAATCGCATCTGATATGACTGGAAGACATAGCTGAATGGGTTTATACTGTCCAGTTGTTAATCTGGGCTGGACTCATGTGGATAGAGTTATTCGTGTAATAAAGGTAAGAAAGCACCGTGTTCATTGGTCAAACTAGCTAGTTTCCTTCTCAGCAATGCAGAATAGTCTTTACGCCCATACTTGGTCATCATCGTCATCATCATTGTGTATCATAATACAGTGAAGCGAACTTCAATGTACGATGCCAAACTCATATTGCATACAATGTAAGTGAGAATGTGTAAGGAGGACCGGGATTGGGCCTATTTTAGGGACGCGAAAAGAAAGCGAATCTCTATGGTCAACACACAGAGCACACAGTCCAATTGTGCATACATACTATTTCAGACATTCTGGTCTGATAAGAAGTGATCGCCATTGCTGTCGGCCCGTGGCCATGACCCTCAGTGTCTCCAAACATGCGGTTTCGGAGTCTTTTGGACCCAAAACCGGAAGACGAAAGACACCTACTCTGACTAATCGCTCTGTGAATTTTTTCATGTCTCGTTTCCAAGTCATCTGCCGGCCTCCATATGTCTTTCTCTAGCCTGTACCAGCCACTGCGAATAAGTCCCGCTGCGATAGGCGACCGTCGAACATACGCAAAATGCCGACGGGGCCTACTGAGTTGGATTCGTTGCGGTAGCGAGTTCTTGATCAATGCATTCCTAAACATCCGACGACTTACTTCGAACTTACTAACCCGCTCACTCCATCCAACCTGGGCCAGACCACGAAAGCATCGATTGTCGAACACTGCTGAACAACGGGTGTCTTCTGCCCGCAAATTCAAATTCTCACAACCGTAAAGCAGTACTGGTCTTACAAAGGAGCAATATAGACGACTTTTCAACTTCAGTGAAATGTCACGTCACCGCCGCAGATGATTAAGTCCTGCGTACGCTGATTCAGCCTTGGAAATGCGGGGTTATCTCCTTCGATGCGCTACCGTCGTTGGCCACGCAGCTACCTAAGTACGAGAAGCAGTCAACTTCAGCTAATTCTTGACCGTCTAGTTTCAGAACAGAACTCGGAAACACAGTCTTATAGCATCAATTTGCAATTTGAAGGTGCAAAGTACATACCAAAATGAGCGACATAACTTGGTGATCTGTCAAGTGCTCTTTGTGCATTCTCCTTTGATTCGAACAGGCAAAGGATGTCGTCAGCGTACTCTAAATCGCACAGCTTTTCCAGCTGCCCATTTGTTACCTACATTTCAGAAACCACCAAATATTTCGTCTATGACGAAAATGAACAGGAATGGCGAAAGAGGACACCCTTGACGAACACCGCTGCTGGTTACGAACTACCTACTACCTACTAGACTTACGGTACCAGATTTACGTGGATAGTGTAAACCCGATGTGGTCACATACGTCCGCGGCATTCCTTTGTGAAGGAATGGACGCATAAGGGATTCACGATCAACTGAGTAGAAGGCCCCTTTGACGTCGAGTAACACGACAACCGTTGTTCGACGGTACCTATGAAGTTGCTCGAAGACTAGACGCAGAGCGAGGATTTGACCGATACAAACGCGACCTGGTCAAAATCCTGCTTGTTGTTTGCGGATGTCTGTCGCTCTTTATGGCGTTATACTTCGAAGTATAATGGATGCTAGTAACTTGATGACGACCGGGAGCAAACTTATTCCACGGTGGTTTGCGCAGTCATTGCCAGATTCCTTCTTAAAAATTGGAACATGCAGTGATTCTCTCCATAATGAGCGAATGCGCTTGTATAACCAGATGTTACGCATTGAATCAGCAATGGAGTCTACAAGGTCATCGCCCCTATCTTGAAAAGAGTGAGAGGAAGCCCGTCCGTCCCGGCTGCTTTTCCCCTCCTCTGGGCTTGGATGCTAGAACGAACTTCTGTTGCAGTAGTAGGCGCAGAGGACACTGTTCACGGAGCCTCAGCTACACCAAAGGCGTTAGCCTGGTTAGCGTCTGGCCAGTTGAACTGTTCGTTGAATTACTCCGTCCACCGGTCAAACCGTTGTTCCCTATTGTGAATAGCTCGCCCACTTTTGTCGCAGATTGTTTCACTAACTGTGGTTCGCCGACCTCCCGTAGTGCATACCAGTCGGAACAGTCGTTGACTATTCCCTGATACAGCTGCTACTTCTATTTCACCAGCTATCATTGCCCACCAGTTCTCACAGTCTTTCTTGAGGCTCCTCGTGAGGAAACGTTGTGGACACCACCTAACCCTGCCTTGATCCCGGGTGGTTGGCATTTGCCGCTTTTTCTCCATCAGTGTCACTGATTCATCAGATATCCAATGCCTCGAGCGGGCTACTTTTCCAGAACTACAAGCAATGCTAGCTGCGGAATGCATTGCTCGGCTATTCTGATCCCGTTGTTCATTTACACTACCCCGCAGTGTGTCCAGCTCCTGCCCTAGTTCTGATTCAAAACGGGCACGAACGGCTGGGTCAGAAAGGCAATGATCTGCCGATCGAGTTTGATATAATTTTCTGCGACCAGTGATTTGGAGAGTGAACTGCATCAAAACTACCGCATTATCAGATTCAACGCAGCTGGTCCAACAGGACCTGAGCCACGCCAACGGTAACTTACCGCTATATGGTCGATCTGATTTAGCGTGCCAGTTAAACTTGAGCGTCAGGTTGCTGTCCGTTGAGATCTGTGTCGGAAGTTGGTGCCGAATAGGAACAGATGATGATCCGCGCAGAACTGAAGAAACCGATTGTTATTATCGGTTCGCTAGCAGGGAAGTGCACAATGATCACCTAGGCAGGCTTCCGATGCGCTCAGTTTCCAACTTGAGCGTTGAAATCACCTTAGAGAATAACTATAATGGAGTTTCGGTTTAACCAAATGAGTTAAGGTGAGTCTGTCAATAAACTCGTTTTCTGGGTATCAGAACTGCAGTTGGTCAGTACATACGCTAAAACGATGAATAAACACCTTTTGGTGCTGATTCCTTTCCGGACACTGATATACCCTTGGAGCCGCATGGCACATAATCGGCTGTTGACGGGGATCCAATCGAGTAGGGCGGCTTTGGCTGTATTATGCAGTACAATGCCCACACCACGCTGGCCTACTGAACGGACTTCGTCATCACCTGACGAGTGGAGGAAGAACCTCGAAGACAAACCCGGTGCACTTAAGTGGCATATAGTACTAGGATCCTGGATTCGAGTCTCCAACAAGCAGCAGAAATCAATCCTCAAAGAGCTCGTTGTACGTGCCAGACACGCTTGTTGACCTACCTGCATCAGAGTCCCTACGTTGAAGGCCTGCGAGCGTATTCGATTATACTACGGTAGGTATGAATGGCATCGATGAGACCACGTAGCGAAATACAAACCCTGAAATGTGCAATGCGTACGGGACTGTGTATTTCAGTAAGCGAGCCGAACAACAATGCGACTCAGTCAATATACAACCAAAAACGGTTCAGACAAATGCGTAAGGACCTGATATAAAAGGCAAGAAAATAAATGTACAAGGTGGGAACACAAATACATGTTGGGATCCACGGAACGTGAACAACTAGTGTTCAAAGTCAGTGATGCAGTCGCAAGGAGCAAAACAACGAGAGAATAGGGCAGCGGTAGTGGCACAACAAAGTCACGAAAATACACAGGGTAGTCATCGGTGCAAGGATAATGACACGGTTGAAATCAATAGGTAGACACTCAAGGTCTAGGGGTAGAAGTAACAGACAATCGTAGACAATGACTAAGCCGAGGGATCACAAGTTGATCAAGGTTAAAGTTGGTCNAGGCGGGGGGGGGGGAACAATAGTAATCTCGCATTGGACCCAAAAGAGATCTATTTCAAGCAATTGATTCTAAAAAAGATCTTTCAAATCACACATGTGTCTATATGATATTTTTACTACCGTTTGGACTTTCGTGGGTTGACTTAAATGTGTTCCAGTTTCGAACTTTACCTCTTGTGTTTTTTTTATTGTTCAATTTACTTTTGACATCCACAGGTGTTTTACGACGTTTGATTTTCTTAATTATTGGAATGATAGATAAATAAATGACAGGATATGTTGACACGCATCATGGTATTCACAATGATTTTGTTGGTTTATCTAGAATTGCTGTATCAAACCACATCAAACATGTTATGATTTGATCCCCTCCGCAGGGACTGGTGGCCTACGAAAATGCGGTATCCGGGAGCTACAATCTGATGGATCCAATTAACGCTCGCGGTTTACGTTTAGTTCTGAAAGAACTCGATGATAACAATCGCGAAGCCGTTCTTTCAGTCGGATTATACGGATGTTTCGGGGCAAAAGATAAGGACACATTTGGTAAGTACCTTTGAAGTGGTTAGATCTCGGCATTAGTTGCACATAAAGACGTACACTCCGATCTGAAACTGCATTGCTATTCGTGGAACGTAATCATCTGTTGTCTGCATTTGTGTGCAATACCTGTTTCACGATTACTTGTTGTTTGCGAAAATGAATGCTACACCTATGGATCCAATATTGCAGAGTGGGATAGAGAGATGGTTTCAGTTCATACGTAGACCGTAGTGTAGCTGATTAAAATTTTTAGAATGTCTAACGGGGTAAATGAAAACCGGGATGGATTAACCACCAAAACAGGTTCATCAGGTACTGTAATGGATAAGACCATTTTTGTTTAGGACATCTGCTACGGGAATTGAAGACTTTTAAGTCTGTCCTGTGTTTTTGTTGACTTTTCTTCTGCATTCTAGTTCAGTTCTCGATCAAAGCTGGCATTTAAAAGTGAATCGGTTGAATGCCCCAAGCTATTGTTAGCTTGGATATCCAAATATTTTGCTGTTAGAGCTCAAACCACTAGATTTGGTAAGACTTTGTCTAAACTCATTGTCCACGACTCTCCAGGGAGTTATGCATTCCCCACACTTATCTGACACGTACAATTGTGGAATTCTTTGCACGTGTTTGAAAATATTCTTGCACGTGTTTGGAAATATTCAGCTGATGTTGTCCTGTGGTAACCTATTTCATCTTCCCTCCATCTAAGCTCTTTCGCCGATAATTTTTCTCAAATTCAGTTGCTNCCCCCCCCCCCTCCAATTGGAACTAATTTTGAACCCTAGGAAATCTGTTGAATATTTGCATAGTTTTACACACTTTTCGTTCCCAAAAGACCTCGCAGTAATGAATAACAGTGTTTTATCTAGGGTGAACAATTTTTCAAATATATTGGTGTATAACTATATATATATATATATATATATATATTTCATAACAAGTAGTATGTGAATGACTGAACGAAATTGCCATGGAAGCATACGATCGGTTTCGCGGCTCTTGCCGCTGGTCAAGCATGCATATCCAACAGTCTTTTATCAGTTCATTAATATACTTGTACGCAGGAGGTGTAATTTCATCACAATAACCTTGTTTGCAACACTGAGTGTCTTTCGGATAGCTAGCTCTTTCAGAGCCAGTCCACTGAGGAATCATTGACATGATTCAATATTTTGCAAAAAGAATAGATGCTAATAACCGCANCTGGGTCTCATCAGCAGTGCGAATCCATCAACAGAAATAGGGATGGAACCCAGGACCTTATAGATAGAACGCAAGTACAGTACACACTGATGCGACCCAATCAAGTAGAAATAGCTATCCACTGCTTCCCAGCTTTTCAATTCATACCTCATTTATACGACAAATTCATTACATAAATTTCCTCAAATCCTCATCTTCGAGGTTAAACCCATAAGAAACCAGGTTGATCAATGGAAGAAGTGAAGCTGATAGGAGATCGCGGGAATGTAATTCACCTGAGATTGAGGCATACATAATTACACATACAATCCAGTCGTACCCCAAGAAAGTCAAAGCAAGTCTGCTAAGCTTCCTGTCTGCTTTGATATTTTCCTTTTCTCCAATATTGGGTCATCGGTTGCATAAATAATATTGAGGTACACACTAGAACTAAATCCACTTTATCCATAGCATCAATGTACTGGTTAGACTGTTAACTGCTGTTATGCTCACTCAGTTGCATGTACCGCATTTGTGGCGATAGAATAGAACGCTATCGGTAATAACCACATTTCTCACGTATTTATCAAACCGAATTATATTTCTTTGTCCTTTTGCATTTATTTGGTTTCAAAGATCCTTGTGATATGACCGAATACAACCTGAAATCTTTGGGTGGGTTTCTTCCAACACCTTTCACATGGCAACCACGAACGTTTCTGCACTGGAACGGCATCATTTTCTTCTGTGATTTGCAGTTTGATTTATCTGCCTTAATTCGACAACGTCAACAATGTTTCAGAATGTCCAATGCCAACCCGAGACAAATAACAAGTGAGTAAATTCGGATAGCACCCGGAAGAAATGGAGACTTTTAAACCCTTGTTAGTATTCACAACTATTAAGAATGAACCCTGTGATTGTAAAACTGCCCGAAAGCCGCGCTTCAACTTGAATTTGCGATGTGGTGGTCTACCAATGCAAAACTGTATTACTTGCAGGTCATTGAGTCACAGTCCCGTGAAAATAAATGATGTTGGAACTGGAGAAAGGCGAAATGTAGTAGCAAAGTACATTCGCAATGCCTGGTATAAGTCGATTAATGAAATGAGCGCGGAAGAGGTCCAGAAGAATGAAGTTTTGCTCACACTAACTTCTAAGTGCATGAAACTGTTGAGTTTTGTGAAACTGATCGAAGGAAGAAATACTTATCTGGGACAAGCACGAAAAAAGCATTGTGGGTGAAATCGACATACTAGGTTTCTAACTGGGTTTTCTAAAATAACTCACAATCCCGGGGTGATAAATAGCGTGATGGGACGTTTTCCTCAGCAATTCAGTTAAAACCTTTCAGATGCGATTGTGTGTGCTTCAAAAATAGCCCAGTTGATTTCCTCTCAAATAAAGTCTATGCATTATATCACGAATACTGATTTATACACCAGATATAGTGCAGTCTTGAGTAAGATTCTAAGAAATTAGTAACATTGTACCACAAACGTGATAATAATAAATATTCTTTTTTCGCGAAATGTTTTTTATCGATACCGTTACTGAAGACTCTGGTCTAGCAGCACGTATAATCCATTGATAATGCCAATATGGAGCATTTTGAACATGTGCAATTTCGATGACTTAATTTTTGCCAGAGCAGGCTAGATGTTGAAAAGCTTCAGTAAAAGAACTTTCCAAACAGAATAAATACATCCACTTGAATTCATAAACTCTCCAGGCTTAATATAAACTGTTGCCACCACCTTCGTATCATTTGATCAATCCGGGAGCAGAGCTGAAAGGTATTCGAATAATAATACCCTGAATAAATTACGCTAAGCTGTGAGGTTGTGGATCAATGAGCAGCTGACTGTTGGTAAAATTCAGTACCTTCAACTATATTCACGGATGAGCTCTATGCCAGGTAGCCTTGCCATACAGTGAGCTGTTGCTAACTAGCACATTGATTCAAAGGAGTAGGCACAGGTTTAACAATCACTTGTCCTGGGTTGGGATTCAATTGGATCCGGCAGCTAAACACAGTGTTCAGTATTCCTATCAAGAATGAAACAGATGTACAATGCCGCAGCGGCGAATAACTCCCCAACGCTACTAAAAGAATGCAATTTGAAGAATAAATCAAACTTGCGAAACTGTTCCATGTAAAGGCCGGATTACCCGTTCATTTCGGAACAGCATAAAATCAAATGGAGAAAACCAGACCTAAACTTTGATCGGCCAAACTACCAGAATCAAAGCGAAGAATGAAAATCAAGAATGCGTTTATAGAGCGGGACAGAGATTATGTAACGTAATCAGATCTGTGTGACTCCCAATCAGTGCACAGAAGAACCATCTCGTGACCCTTCCTAATATCTGATTGAATCATTTTTTGAGATTTGCGCAACTTGGAATCCCTTAACTTGGTCGGAAACTGACAGATCATCAACCCTACATGTTTGCGATACTCTTGTTGTCAGCTGCAGTCCAGTGGCATGATTACGATAATGATGATGATGATACCGGAGAAGATGGTGAGAAAAAATGGGGCAATCACACAACCTCTCGACAGATCAATGGGTTTCGGGACTGTTCGATTACATGCTGACGATTGATCGTGCATGTGCAGTGCGATTGTTCCATCGCTTCTTGTCGTATTTGTCCTCGCATTTGCGACTTCGCACAACTAAAATTCATCATTACCTTTTTGAAATACAATGCCGTTTACAGTTGGTAACCAAACTAGTAGTAAAGTTAAATGTAGAAATTATTTGTGACAATCCTATACAGTTATTCGTTCTCTAACGAGTCTCCGGAAAGCACCATGAATCCGATTGGTTTTGCAGAAAAGGAGACTTTAAGGCGTTCCCCGCCAGCACAACCGAAAATCGATACCTTGCCGATTCTCTCAGATCTTAAGGATGCTTAGTGAACTGTAACCATTATCATATGGCTTGACAACAGGTAACAATAGAACTATCACAAACATTGCGAACTGGTGATCGGACAATATGCAAGTTACACAGATTACGGAAAATGATCCAATCGGATGATCATTAGGGTTAGATGGAATCTTGCCGTGAGGGGTCACGGGTGAGAGCGGAACCACCGCGTGAACCGATCATATGTTTGAGAGCGCGCGCCAAGGAATGTGATAGAGGAGACCTATTCGATCGCACCACAGTGAGTGAAGGTATGGGTTCCTACAGGGACAGTCAGTTGTGGAAACCTGAGCGATGGGCTAAAGTAAATTACAAACGAAACACAATCAGACTACCCGGTTTTTGTGAGCGGAATTCAATGCACCTCCAATTACAGTTACTTTTGGCACAGATCAACGTTCTTTGAAAAGCAAAAGAGTGCAAAGAAGGAGGAGAGGAAGAATACTTGATAAGCGGTGTAGATTAATTGAATGACTGAATTACACGGTCTGATCTCATTGCACTCCAAGCTAGCGGCACCACTGCTTCGCTCCTTTAATATTATCCCTAAGAATCTTCACCGACCATGGTGCATTCAGATTACAAATGTTGAACGCTCATCCTACTGCGCTTTCTGGACCGCGAGAGTCACATTCTCGTTTCAAGGAAGACGAGCAATTCCTCCGCAGAGTCAGAGACCACTGTTTACCTTTTGTAACTGACAGCAAGAAAATGCATCTAATCTTCGTCCAGAAGATAGAGTTGACCGTGAATGATGTCCTGAGATGTGTAACGGACATCACAGCAAAACCAACCTTTAATCCTATTATGACACGAATGGTACATAACTTATAGACCGGTTGGAGATCTGATGAGCTGAATTCGAAACTGAGCAAACCTNTCACTGTTTTTAGAAGCCGCATGCGCTCGCTTGGTTGAAGTCAGTAAGGCATGAATTTGAGTAATATGTGTCACTCACCAAACCTCTTGTGGTGAATGGGATCGATTGAAAATGTCTGATACCAGTCAGCGAAACTAACTGTCCCACATGAGCTGCACCAATCCCGACTGTTAATAAAACTGCGCACTTGTACAGAAACACATGTTTCACTTAAGGATGATTGGTAGTACTCACTTCAAGTGCACAATATTCTATGTAACAACGTAAATAGCAAACGTTGATTTTCGTGCAGGTATCCATTAGGTATTTAGGTCCTGCAAATTAACTGGATAATAAAAAATGATGAACTCTGCAGCTCTTTATACACGCCAGTCGTCCGGAATGTTGCATTCATTAATCCACCCGACTAGCTTATGATATTTCACTCCTAACTAAATACTTGTATTAAAAACTGTATCAATCCTCACATAGCACAAAACTGTTACAGTCGGTCGAAGATTTTGCGGGGTACTTGTAAAGAACTTTAGTGTTTGGAGCTGCAATTCTTAGAGTGATGTTTATAACAACTCATTCACTTCGCTTGCAAAGTTTTACCACCGTCCATGGCAAGTTAAACATCCACACCAAATTTCCATGGTGAATTCGTTGTATATATAGCAAATTTAGAGTGAACTGAAAAGTTTGGAAGCGCTGGATAGCTATTTCGACTGCCCAAAGACTTTCAGCTGAGACAACCACTAACCATGCACTTTCGTACGCCGGTTTTGGTCGCTGTCTTTTGGCTGCCCATTGGGATGAATAATAGCAGAAGAACAGGAAAGTTGAAGGTGGAGTCGAAGAGAAAATTGAGAACTCCAGTAAACAATGGCTTCAAAGAAATCAAGAAGATGCAAGAACGCCACTGTTTGCGACACACAGCCATATCACTCAGTGTCTCTAACCATCAGAAACGATCATCCCGAGGTCCCAAGCCAGGGAGCCTAATGGGACCTATGTGACCCAGACTCCTGGTCAGGGTTTTCATACCCTCGTGCCAGGTCTTAGCTTGGCTACCCTCGACCTTCTTCCAAACACTACTTACCTCGGCGAACATCGCTCTCCGTGGCAACCTATCTGGTGACATGCGTAACACATGCCCCCCAACGCAATCTATGAAGGTAAAACACCTGCTCCAATGGAAGACCGCGGATAGCCAAAACTCTGCGCCTAACCTCAGCATTGCTCGTCCGGCTGCCCCACCAGATTCGTGCAATGATGCGTAGACAGCGGTGTTCAAACACCGACAGTCTATTTTAGTCCTGTTTTCTTAGTGGCCAAGTTTCTGCGCCGCATAGCAGAACTGGCCGAACTTCCGCGACATACACTCCACCCTTCACGGACAACCGGATGTCGCGACGGCGCCACGAATGTCTCAGGTTGGCATACGCCAACCTAGCCTTCTGTATGCGAGCAGACACTTCATCCGTGATGCGTCCACCGGGTGAGACGTAGCTGCCCAAGTAACAAAACTTATCCACTTGCTCTTTTACTTCTCCTGTTAGAGTGCGGCTCGGTGCTGGACCTACCCAGTCTATATCGGCTCAGTGAAAAACTAAAAACGGTCTGATCAGCTGCTTGGTGGCTGAGTGGGTAGTATGCCTGTGTTCTGCCTGTGATGTCCCGGGTTCGATTCTTAGTTGGGTCCATGGATTTGCACTGCTGCTGGATTTGCTGTATACACGACAAAATCCCTCTTTAAAATTGGATCCAATCCTCCATTAATCACATGATTCAAATCGAAGCTCGTTAATACGATGCAACACATCACCTTTAAAATGGAGCGCCTGTCATTTGGTTTCAACTGTAGGCCAACTATTCTTCATTACCCAATTAATAAAAATCTAATACAAGTTGCTGATACAGCAGTTTTTCCAAACATCATCTTTCAAGGTAACGTAAAATTGAAAGAGCTTCTCGGTAAACTACTACTGGTCTAATTAACTCGGATTGCTAAATGAGTCCTCCAAACCAAGTGCTAGGGTGTACG